TGGTTGTATGTGTTGTGTGTGGTATTACAACAGTAAAAAAAAAAAAAAAAAAAATTTTTATTGACGCCCACAAGTAGGCGGTGTGGTTTGTATTTGTAGTTCTGCAATAATCCAAGAGGTGGCGGTGTTATTCAAAAAAGAAAAATAGGCTTTTTCCGAACGGTCACGAACCGCACCGGAGAAAGCCGAAAATAACCCCGGAAGCTACCTCGTCAACTCGTCGCTGTCTGAGCGATGTGCTGCTGTCGCGGCTGCAGCACAAACGGGCTGTCCGAGCCGTGGCTTCCGTTAAAAACCGGACCTTGTGATGTGTGACTGAGACGACCGTAACAGAAAATGACGAACATTAAGGTACGTTCTTTATTATGTCATTCGACAGACTCGTTTGTATTTATCCGTCGCTAATATTCAGTCATAGCACGCTAGCCTGGCTGCTAGTGGCTAGTTAGCAAGCAAGATCCATCATCGTTATGTGTGCCTGAGTTTGTGTATATGTATGTATGTGTGTGTGTGTGAGAGAGAGAGAGAGACCGACCGTCGGTCCATCTGGCCGTCTCTCCCTCGGTCCGTGCTTACCTACAGTCACGACCTTTACGGCTATCGTTGCAGCGGGGAGGGAACCCCCCCTCCCCCGGGTCGCTGTTATCATCCTGCCGTGTTCGTGTCCAATCAAAGAACCGGCTTCACATATGGACAGATGGGAAATTCTAAATGAGAGGGCGGTGACGATTTATGGGCTCATTGTGAGAAAGGATTCTAATCTCGGCCGCCTCACTAACGTGCGTGCATGTGTGCGCGTGCATGTGTTTGAACGCCTGGGTTCAAGGTTAGAGTAGATTATTGTTGTATTTCCTCCTGTTTATTAATACGGTCCCACATGTAGCATAGCATTTCATGCTCTTCGGGCTAACACGGCATCAACTTTCACAATAGAATCTGAATCATCACATCAACCACATCTGTCACTTTCATTGAGAAAAAATGACACCAAAAACACCAGAAAAATAAAAATAAAATGAATAACAAGAAAAAACTGACTGCTACTATAAAACTGACAATAAGTTAAATGTAAAACTAACTTTTGAACATTGCAATCAGATGTGTCATCAGTTCAGGAAGTGTGTGTGTAGTCTGTTTCCTCTGGTTGTATGTGTTGTGTGTGGTATTACAACAGTAAAAAAAAAAAAAAAAAAAACCCTGCCCTCTCTTGTAGGGGATGACTTAGATGTCGGGGGGCACAT